ATATTATTATTATTATTATTATTATCATTATTATTACAGTAATTATCATTATAATGATAATAATAATAATAATAATAATAATTATTATTATTATTATTATTATTACCGTCATTGTCATTATTATTAAAGATGCTTTTAATCTTGTTATTAGTGATATTACTACTATTATTTTCCTTAATATTCGTAAGGAAATAGAATTTATTTTTTTTGACTGACTTTCAACAACATAATAAATCCGACGATTTTTGATGATATATTTTTTATTCATTATTTATTTTATTATTTAATTTATTTATTTATTTATTTATTTTGCCTTTCCTTTATTGGAATACGAAACGAATTTGCCTTCGTTATCGACGTTAAAACGGTTAGTGTATTTAAAGGGATTTTGTCGCTGTCTGTCCTATTATAGCATTGGCTTTGAGGCGTCTGCTTCTCGGAACCACGCCCACGCTGGAGGCTTTCGTGGGCGTATTAGTTTTTAGTTATTGTTCTGGTACACGCTACGTGAGTCGTGAATCGGTTCGGGTGTTTTGGGTCTGTCTCTCTCTCTCTCTGGGTATCTCCCGTTTTTGGGTCTTTGTCTTTGTCTTTTGTCTTTGTCTCTTCTTGTTCTGTGTCTGCTCTTTTCGTTCTGTTCGTTCTCTGTCTCTCTGTCTCTCGTTTTCTGTCTCTTTCTTTCACTTTTTTGTTTTTTTTGTCTAAGTTTCTTTGAGCTGTCTCTGTTCTCTTTGTTTCTCTCTCTCTCTCTCTCTCTCTCTCTCTCTCTCTCTCTCTCTCTCTCTCCTCTCTCTCTCTCCCTCTCCCTCTTCTCCCCTCTCTCTCTCTCTCTCTCTCTCTCTCTCTCTCTCTCTCTCTCTCTCTCTCTCTCTCTCTCCCTCTCTCTCTCTCTCTCCTCTCTCTCTCTCTCCTCTCTCTTCTCTCCTCTCTCTCTCTCTCTCTCTCTCTCTCTCTCTCTCTCTCTCTCTCTCTCTTCTCTCTCTTCTCTCTCTCTCTCTCTCTCTCTCTCTCTCTCTCTCTCTCTCTCCCTCTCTCTCCCTCCTCCTCCTCCCTCTCCTCCCTCCTCCCTCCCTCTCCCCCTCTCTCCTTTCTCCCCTCTCCCCCTTCTCCTTCTCCTCTCCCCCTCTCTCCCTCCCTCTCCCCTCTCTCCCTTCCCTCTGCGCCCTCTTCCCTCCTCTCCCTCTCCAGTGTGCGTAATAATTAAGTCATGTGATGCATTACTTTATTGTGGAAGTAAACAAACACAGCAATTTAAATAGAGTTTAACGATAAGTATAATGAATAGAATGCTAGCAAATTGGGCCTTTGCAGAAGGATTTTTAGGACTAATGGATGAGTTCAGTCCGTGTAGTGAGATGGGTTAAGGACTTCATGGATAATGGCAAAGTCTTCCTATCGATATGAGTAGAAAGATTTAGGAGTTGGGGTGAGGTTCAAGGATACACAAAGGAAAAAAAAAAAAAAAAAAAAGTACCACATATGTAAGTTCAAAAAGTATTAAGTATGTAAGTGAAAAGTAGTTAAGTTTGTAAGTTCAAAGGGTACCAAGTATGTAAGTTCAAAAATTACCAAGTAATTTAGAAAAAAGTACCAAGTAAAATAAATTGAAAAAGTACCAAGTAAAATAAATTGAAAAAGTACCAAGTGTGTAAGTTGAAAAAGTACGTAAGTTTGTAAGTTCAAAGGGTACCAAGTATGTAAGTTCAAAAAGTATCAATTATATGAGTTCAAAAAATAAGTTAAAGTAAATAAGTTAAAAAACTAATAAATATGCAAGTTTAAAAAGTACCAAATATGTAAGTTCAAAAAGTACCAAGTAAATAAGTCCAAAAAGTAGCAGTTAAATAAGTTTAAAAAGTACCAAGTAAATAAGTTCAAGATTACCAAGTGCGTAAGCTCAAAAAGTACCAAGTAAATTAGTTAAACAGTACCAAGTAAATAAGTTTAAAAAATACCAAGCGCGTAAGTTCAAAAAGTACCAAATATGTAAGTTCAAGGAGTACCAAGTATGTAAAATCAAAAGGACCAGTTATATGAGTTCAAAAAGTACCAAGTAGATAAGTATGTAAGTTCAAAGGGTAATAAGTATGTAAGTTCAAAAAGTACCAAGTAAATTAGTTAAAAAGTACCAAGTAAATAAGTTTTAAAAAATACCATGTGCGTAAGTTCAAAAAGTACCAATTTTATGAGTTCAAAATAAGTCAAGTAAATAATTACGTAAGTTCAAAGGGTACCAATTATATGAGTTCAAAAAGTACCAAGTAAATTAGTTTAAAAGTACCAAGTAAATAAGTATGGAAGTTCAAAGGGTACCAAGGCGATCCCTTTCAAGTCTTGCGTTTGATGTCAATTAAGTTTAATCGAAGCTTAATGCCAAAGAACATTTTTAATCTGTCTGTGTTGCACGTAAGCCTTGAAATATGTCGGTAGATAATTGCAGGTGTGTGAGAGTTGAGGTCCAGGTGGCGATAGAGGAATTAGAGAGTTGTGGTTGTGGTTGTGGTTGTTGTTGAGGTAGGGTGTTGGTTGTGCTGCGGCCTTGTCTGGTGGTGTCTGTTGAGTGATTGGTGTTATTTTGATTTTTTGTGCATTTCTTGTTTAGTATATATCTATTTTTATTTTTATTTATTATTTATTTATTTTTTTTTTTTTTTGGGGGGGTCTTTTCGTCGTTTATTTTCGTGTTTATTCTTCTTCTTCGTCTTCGTTTCTTCTTTCCCTTCTCCTCCCTCTTCCTCTTCTCCCTCCCCTCCTCCCTCTTTCTCTTTCTCTTTCTCCTCCTCCTTATTATTATTATCATTATTGTTATTATTATCATTATCAGTATCGTCATCATCATTATCATCATATGATTATGATTATCATTATCATTATCATTATCATCATATTGTTTATATTATAATTGTTTTGTTATATTATTGTTTTATTATTTTATAGTTGTTATTATTGTTACTATAATTGTTACTATTATCATTATTATTCCCTTTAAATACTAGGCTTAAACCCTGGCCGCTGACACCACTGAGCATTATAATTAACGGCTGGAGGACATTGCCCAAGCCAGCCACGTATGCATAGAGAGTTATTGATCCTCTCTCGCGTCTCTCTCTCTCTCTCTCTCTTTCTCTCTCTCACTCCCTCTCTCTCTCTCTCTTGCAGATGAGACTGCGGAAGCTCTCGCCGCCGCCGCCGCCGCCTCTTCAAGTGTCGCTTCGGGTGTGGGTGTTGTCGTGAAGTGTTCGTGGAGGGTGAGGGACTTGGCTCCTCCTCTTCCTGGGGACTTCTCGCTGCTGGTCTTTCTCTTCTTCTTTCTACTTCTTTTTCTTCTTCTTCTTTCTTCTTCTTCGTCTTCTTCTTCTTCTTCAGTGTCTCTCGTCTCCTTCGGTGCTCAGGACGTCTAGGGAGTCCTCGAGGGGCGTCTTCTTCTCGCGTCTCGTCTCTCTCTCGTCTCATTTTTCGAGGAACTTTTTTTGTGAGAGATTCACCTATCTTGAACATTTTCCCTTCCACGTCCTCTGTTTCTTGAGACACGAGTCTGACAATCACGGAAAAGGAGAAGATACTTGGAAAATACTCATCGAAGTGATAGATACATAACCGAAAGGAAACCAAAAGAAAAAAGAATTCGTGTGCTTTGTATCCATCTATCTATCTATCTATCTATCTATCTATCTATCTATCAGTGTCGGCAAATTCAAGACAAAACAGAGATCGAACTTGGTCCGTTGGGTACGAGAAGGTGCTCTGACTTCATCCGACTCGACGTCCTCCTTGAGTGAAGTGTGCTAAATATTATTGCAGTGTCGAGACCTGTAAACAGAGAGGAAATAAAAGAAGAAGAAACGAAAAGAGAGAGAAGAGAATAGTATAAAGGAAGGAGAAAATAGAAGGGAAGCGAGAAGAGAAGAGGAAAATAAGAAGAAACGTAAAGAGAGAGAGATAGGAAAAGAAGAAAAATAGACAAGAGTGAAGAAGAAAAAAAAACGAAGAAAATAAGATAGGAAAGACAAGAGACGGAAAGAGCATAGTCTGAATTTTGATTTAGACCGAAAGGGTTAATATTACAAGGAACTCAAAGCGGCGATTCGACCTTCACTGCAAGACGCGAGTGACTGTCGACGAAAGAGAGAGAGAGAAAAGAAAATTGAAGAAAGCAATTGAGTGTGAATATAACACGCGAGAGGAACTTTTAACCCCCAAAAAAGGACTCTTAAATATTATATAAAAAAAAGGAAAAATCTACGTGTGATCGTAATCTGAAATCCGTAAAAACAGTGCTACAGAAATCGGGTTAAAGAACATAATTAAACAGATATAGATTACAGTACGATATAAAGTCTTCCTTTTGAAGTATCTGTGAGTAGATTATCCGTCCCACCCCCACCCCCACCCCTCCCCCGAACCCCAATTGGTTCATTCCTGGTGTACTTGTGGTGATAAGACATTTATTTTAAGTGTTCGAGAGGTACTTTATAGATATAGATATATATTGAGTATACGTAACATACCCGCATACCCTTTGATGCTATAGAACGGTGCCCCCTCCTTGAATCCGTCCCTTGTTATAGTTGTTTGTTTTCTTTATTGTCCATTCGCTTTTTGGGGCGAATTCTGGCGTCTGTTGGAGAGTTTTGAGCGAGAGGAACGAAGCAAAAAGAAAAGAGAAGAAATAAAAAGGAAAAGAATATCTTTTCGGACGGCCCTGTAGCAGAACGGAAATAGAGAAGCAGAGAAGAAGTGAAGTAAAAGGAAAAAAGTGAAGGTTTTCGATTATACTTCCGTTTCTACGTTCGTATCTGCCACATCCATCTCTCCACTTTCAACTCCCAGCTTCTAGACCTCCACTTCCACCTACCTTCCACTGAGGCCTACTCCACATTTTTTTCCCGTCCTTTTAGCTCCTACTCCACCACCACCAATCACCCCTTCCTACTCCACCTCCTACTCCACCACCAATTACTCTCCCCCTTCTACTCCACCACCACCAAATTACTCCCCCTTCTACTCCACCACACCAATTACTCTCCCTCCTCCACCTCCACCTCGTACTCCACCAGCTCCCCCTCCAAGCACAAGCCAAGATGACGACGGTGGAGTCCTCGCTCTCGCTCAGCCTCGACCGCCTGGCCCAGGCTGCCGCTCGACCCGCCGAGAACGTGGAGGCGCTGAAGACCATCGTGGCGAGGGTGCACTCGAGGCTCAAGGTCCAAGGTAAGACTCGAGGGAGAAGGAGGGAAGGGAGAGGGGTGGGGAAGGGGAGGGGAAGGGGGGAGGGGGGTGGGGAAGGGATGAGGGGAGGAGGTGGGGTGGGGTGGGGAAGGATGAGGGGGAGGGGGAGGGGAAGGGAAGTTGGGGGGTATTGGGATGGGGAATACTTGGTCTTCTATACTGTGTGTCTACTGTGTGTGTGTGTGTGTGTGTGTGTGTGTGTGTGTGTGTGTGTGTGTGTGTGTGTGTGTGTGTGTGAGAGAGAGAGAGAGGAGAGAGAGAGAGAGAGAGAGAGAGAGAGAGAGAGAGAGAGAGAGAGAGAGAGAGAGAGAGAATATAAGGAACAGCTTACCCATCCCAGTACATGTGGTAGAGGATTCATAATCATATTTCCTAATCTATTTCAGCAGATTCTGAGAAGAGCTCATTGTACCGCTGGCGTCTAGTTTAGCATAAAACGTGTTCATAATGTTCAGAGTGCATTGGCTTTGGTTGTTCATTCATCCGTGTTCAACCGTTCATACGTGCCTTGAATATGTTCTGAAATCCTGAACAGACACTTGTTTTTGCTACTCGAGTTGGCACAAGCGAAATTCATTAATAGAAAGCAAAAAAAAAAAAAAAAAAAATACTGCTTGTAAACTGAAGAAAGATTTTCTTTAAACTTGAAAATGAAATAACGAATGTCTTTTTGTTTTTACTGTTTTTTTTTTTTTTTTTTTTTTTTTTTTTTTTTTTTTTTTATCCATACCCGAAAAAGTGTTGGGTAAAAGTCTACGGGAATTTCAACCCGGGTTTCATTTCCTCGATGGTCCGTTCATATATTTTCTTTCTTATTAATTCTTTTCTTTTTTTTCTTTCTCTTTTATGTATATATTGCTCACATTTAAAGATGCGACCCAATTAGTGCCAAATTAGACATACAGTAGACTTGATAGAATCAATCCCATTCTTTTTTGAGACTAGCTATCGAAAACAAGAACACTCTTACTGCTATACTATACTACTATAACAGTATATAGCATACTACCATACTGCTATAACACTATATAACATGCTACTTTGATACTATATAGCATACTCCCATACTACTATAACAGTATATAGCATACTACTATACTGCTACAACACTATATAACATACATCTATGACACTATATAGCATACTACCATACTAATATACCATAATATAGCATACTATAACGCTATATAACATACAACTATACAACTATACTACTATAACACTTATGTGTAGTAGTACCGCGCCCTCTGAGCAGCAGTGCGTGCAGTAAGCAGTTGCAGCAATGTGGCGCAGGGGAGAGAATGCACAAGCACGCTATTGCTTGGCGCCGGAGTGTAGACGGGAGCCATGCAGTCCGGGCATCGGGGGGGGGGGGGAGATACGAAAAAAAGAAGTTAAAGTTGATGCGCCAAGAGAGAGTTTGGAGTTGGTTGTATTCTGGAGTGTAGGCCTGTTGTATTTTGGTGTTTTTGTATTTCATTGATTTATTTTGTAAAGTAATGCAGTTCTGATGTTGGGTAAAAAAGATTAAAAAAAAAGTTGATAGAGAGTGTGATTGGAGTTGGTTGTATTCTGGTGTGCTTGTTGTATTTTGTTTATTTATTTTGTTGTATAGTAATGCAGTTCTGACGTTGGGGGGGGGGGATACAAAAAGAAGAAAGTTAAAGTTGATGCGCCAAGAGAGAGTTTGGAGTTGGTTGTAGTCTGGAGTGTAGGCCTCTTGTATTTTGGTGTTGGCCTGTTGTATTTCATTGATTTATTGTGTTGTAAAGTAATTCAGTTCTGATATTGGGGGAAAAATACGAAAAAAGTTGATGTGCCAAGAGAGTGTTTGGAGTTGGTTGTATTTTTGAGTGTAGGCCTGTTGTATTTTTAGTATATGGAGTTGCTTGTATTCTTTATTGGAGGCCTGTTGTATTTTTAGTATTTGGAGTTGCTTGTATTCTGATTGTAGGCCTGTTGTATTTTATTGAATTTATTTTGTTGTAAAGTAATGCAGTTCTGATGTGTGTATGGGGGGGGGGGGTACAAAAAAAGAAGTTAAAGTTGATGTGCCAAGAGAGTGTTTCGAGTTGGTTGTAGTCTGGAGTGTAGGCCTGTTGTATTTTGTTGAATTTGTTTTATTATAAATTAATGCAGTTCTGATGTTAGGGGGAAATACGAAAGAAAGTTAAAGTTGATGTGCCAAGAGAGAGTTTGGAGTTGGTTGTATTCTGGAGTGTAGGCCTGTTGTATTTTGTTGAATTTATTTTGTTGTATAGAAATGCAGTTCTGACGTTGAGGGGGGGGGGAGATACGAAAAAAAGAAGTTAAAGTTCATGTGCCATGAGAGGCTTTGAAGTTGATTGTATTCTGGAGTGTAGGCCTGTTGTATTTTGTTGAATTTATTTTGTTGTATAGTAATGCAGTTCTGACGTCTGGGGGGGGATACAAAAAGAAGAAAGTTAAAGTTGATGTGCCAAGAGAGGCTTTGAAGTTGGTTGTATTTTTGAGTGAAGGCCTGTTGTATTTTTAGTATTTGGAGTTGACTGTAGGCTGGAGTGTAGGACTATTGTATTTCGTTGATTTATTTTGTTTTCAAGGATTGCAGTTCTAATGTGGGAACAAAAGTTAAAGTTGATGTGCCAGTAGAGGATTTGAAGTTGCTTGTATTCTGGATTGTAGGCCTGTTGTATTTCATCGATTTATTTTATTGTAAATTAATGTAGTTCTGATGTTGGGGGGAAAAAGATACAAAAAAGAAGTTAAAGTTGATTTATTTTATTGTAAATTAATGTAGTTCTGATGATGGGTGAAAAAGATATAAAAAAGAAGTTAAAGCTGATTTATTTTATTGTATAGTAATGCAGTTCTGATGGATAAGAAAATAAAGTTGTTGTGCCAAGATAGTGCTGGAAGATAGCGGTATTCTAGAGTGTAGGCCTATTGTATTTTATTAATTTGATTTATTAGTGTATTTAATCAGAAACGTATTTTATTTTAAGATAATGCAGTTCTGACGTTGGAAAAAAGACGAAAATAAAAAAAGTTAATATGCCAAGCTAGTATTTGAAGTTGTAGGCCTATTGTAATTTATTAATTTGTTTTATTAGTCTATTTATTCATTAATGTATTTTACTGTAAAGTGATGCAGTTCTAACGTTGAAATGTACAAAAAAAATAGTTAAAGCTGACATAGATAGCGTTTTTTCTAGAGTATATAAAACCCTGTTCAGACGAGCGACTTCAGTGGCGCGACTGCCAGAAGCGCGACTGGTCTGGCGCGACTGCTAGAAGCGCGACTGCCAGGTCAATGGAAGTTTATAGCCACTAGTGTGTGCGCTCTTATTCACTTCCATTGACCTGGTAGTCGCGCTTCTGGCAGTCGCGCCACTAAAGTCGCTCGTCTGAGAAGGGTCTAATGTACTGAAGATATTGATTAAATGAGGTTTTGCAATTATGTTCATTTTATTATTGCATTGTGGTGGTACAGACGTCGTTGATCAAATACGTTTTTATTTCGATATTTTGTTATTGAATTTTTTGGAGATACAGACCTTGTTAGTTAGATGAATTTGTACATTGATATTTACATTAATTTTGTAATGTGTTAATGTTCTTTGATTAATTGTACATTGATTATGTAATGTTGGTGTTCTTGATTAATTTTGCGATCGACTTGTCTACGTGTAGGCCTATTCCTCTTTTGTATTCTGTGTTACGAAAATCCTTGATTAATGATGCGATCGAGTTGACCGTGTAGGCCTATATATATTTTTTTTTTCATTGTGTTATTATTTATTGTTTTATTTTATTTATTATTGTTATTTTATTTGTTTATTTATTCATTGTTATTTTGTTTATTATTTATTCATAATCATTTTATTTTTATTTATCATGTTTATATATTCATAATTATTTTATTTATTTATTATTGTATTTATGTATTATTATTTATTTTATTTATTTAATTACCAATTGTTGTTTAGTTTATTGATATATTTATTTACTTCATTATTATTATTATTATTATGATTTTAATATCTGTAATACAAACACTGTATTACGAAGCTCCTTAATGAATTTTGCGATCGACCCGTCTGCATGTAGGCCTATATCCTCTTTTGCTGTGTTGTGAAGTTCCCTTGATTAATTTTGCGGCTGACGGCTGACGGCTGACGGCTGACGGTACAAAGGGGACGTCTCGCGTCGATGTGGGTCTTGGATTTTTTTGGATTGGGTAAAGGGGGGGGGGGGATGGGGGGGGAGGGGGAGGGGGGGTGATTCTGTTCAGTGTGATGCGTTTTTTTGTGTGTGTTTATTTTTTATTTTGCGTTTTATTATTATTATTATTATTATTATTATTATTTATTTTTTATTTATTATTATTTTTTTACTGAGATATATATTGATCGTTTTTCGTTTCCTGTAATTCTGTGAGTTATTCGATTGTTGTTTTTCTTATTGTTTATTGTGAGTATGTAGGCCTGGAATTTTCGGGGTTGTAGTACTTTTGCATTTTCTGTAAGTTATTCATTTAACCTTTATATTTAAATAAAAGAAAAGACAGTAAAAAAGAATAAGAAAAGAAAGAAAAAAAGAAAAAAAAAAAGAAGAAGAAAAAAGAAAGAAAGAAAAGAGAAAAAAGATATATATATATATATATATATATATATATATATATATATATATATATATATATATATATATATATATATATATATATATAACATTAGTGTGGTGTTTGTTCATGTGTTCCCCAGGTGTCTGCAAATGTCCCCCTGAAGAAGCTTTATGTGTCTGTCTTCCTCGCTCAGACACAAAGCCACAACAGACATGCGCGACAGACAGCCGTGGCGGCGAATCAACCCTCATGGCTTAAAGATAATGACGCTTGACAGACAAAGACACGCGGCTTGACAATTCGCAAATGACACGAGGGAGGCATTCTTGTGCAGCGGCCATTTCCGCATTTTGGAGAAGGGGGGGGGGAGGGATGGAGA